ACTTTCAGAAATCCAGATAACCCGAGTATATGGCATCCTCCTATTCAACCATTTACTACATGTAACTGGGTGCTTGACAATGGACACCTGAATCAGCTTGTCTGCCACTGCATAATAAACCACTCCAAAGTTAGTAGCTTAAAACAACAATTTATTATATCTCATGATTCTGTGGGTCATTTGGGCCATTCTTCCATGGGTCTTGATGGGCTGGCCCACTGACAAAGCTACATTTAGCTGATGGGTTACCTGTAGAAACTGGAAGTTTCCCAGTTTAGCTGGGTTTGACACAGTTAAACCCAGTTTAACTGGGTTAAACTGGAAGAGCTTGAGGCAACAGGGCCTCTCTCTCTCCATATAGTCTTTCATGGCCTCTTTACAGCATGGTGATCTCAGGGCAGCTTCCAAGAGGACAAGCCCAAAGTGTAAGCATTTTAAAGCCTTGGCTTTCATCACATGTGCTGACGTCCCATTGACTAACGCAGGTCTTATGGCCAAGCCGAGAACCACTGTGGGAGAAGAATGCCCAGGGGCATGGACACCAAAGGGTACAATTTATTCAGGGGTGATTATTGTGACAATCCACCACAGTCTTCCTTCTGGCCCCAGTGATTCACATCTCTCCCATTTTCAAAATGCGTCAGTCCTCCCCAAACCACCAAAGATCTCATCAAATCATATCATCAGAGCACAAGTCCAGGAACTTCTTATCTGTCTCAGACCCAGATGTGGTTCAGGCTGTTTGAGTGCAGTTCCTCACGCAGCTCCTCTGGTGTGGCTTCTCATCATTCAGAGACCTATAAACTAAAAACACAAGCTATCTTCTCCATACACGCCCATCACACAATTGTGAGAATGGTACACTCAATAGATACTCCCCATTTAAAGGAGGAGGAACAGACAGCCACACAGCTGTCACTGGTCCACAGCAATTCTGAAATCCAGGCTTCAGTATGTTGCAGGGCCTTCTACTCTGGGTACAAGGAAAGGTTCTTGCATAGAGCCTCGTTGTACTCTCTGGAAGTGGTTGGCCCTGCCCTCCACAAGGGCCTTCCTTTTCAATAAAAATAGCCTGTGTTTGCATCTGTGTAGTCTTCTCAGCTTATTTCCTGTTTCCTTTTATTTTGAATTTCCTGTGCACCATTTAGTCTAACCTAGCCCAATTCTCTTATAAACTTAATGGGCTTTCTATTTACCAAGTTATTAGACAAAAACTATACCTACAATTATTTTTGAGACAGGCCTGTACATTGGTCAACATGTCAAGGCGCTGTGGGAAAATGCCTTTAAAATTATTAGAAGCCCTTTATCTAGCTGAGAAAACCTAACAGACATTATTTTAAATCCTTCTGTGGTCTTAGCAAAGTCTTGCAGCCACACCCTTGATGTGCTTTGTACCTGAAGCCGTTTCTTAGAGAATCTGTTCCCAGTCTGAGAGACTGAGAATGTGAAACAGTTTTATTTCCCAACCTAGCATATTCTAGAGCCTCCCTATTTGCTTTAAATTCTGCTTGCAGAGTTTGGGGGTGGAGATAAAAAAAGAAAAACAAATTTTTGCTTGCAAATGGAGTTCTTTTTTTAATTCATTTCTCTCTTCCTATACGTATTGCATATAATTTTTAAAAAGCTAATGGTCCCCTTTAGCATTCTAAATGGAAGCGTTCTTAAGCCAAATCCACAAGTTCATTAAGTACATTTTCTTATCGTCCAAGTTTCTGGAGGTGACAGGGTTGCCAGTCATTCTACTACTATGTAGTATGGTTTGCTCTTTATCAGCCTCCTGTAGCAGTTTCCTCTCAGGTCCTCAGACTCCATGAACCCTCTACTTGCTGCCACTATGGCCTCTGCCAACCAGTCAGTCCCAAAGCGAGTGCCACACGGTTTAGGTTTTTGTCACAGCAACACACCACTTCTGCATATCAATTTTTATATCGGTTTTCCATTTCTGTGTACCAAACCACCCCAAAACCCAGTGATATAACAATAATTTATTATTTGCCATGATCCTGTGAGTTAGCTGGGTCATTCTTCTGATGGTCGTGCCTGGGGTCACTCAGACAGCTGCATGCAGCTTGATGGCCTGGATCCACCGGCTTCTCCTACCACATGGTACATAAATCTGGGCTTCTTCACAGCATGGTGGTCTCAGGGCTCCAAGAAGACAAGCCCCAATGTGCAAGTATTTATCAAACCTCTGCTTCCATCACAGTTCTTTGTGTCACATTTGCCAAAGCAAGTCACACGGCTGAGCCCAGTACCAATATGGAAGAGGAATAGATAAGCAGTGTATGGGGAAAGGGCAGGCTTGTAGCTCTGGCTTGGGCCAGGCAAAGGCATTATATGCAACCAAAATGTTTGTAACCCCATAATATTCTGAAATTTAAAGAAAATTTTAAAAAGAGTGTGGATACTAGGAGGTGTGATCCAATTGGGTCATTGCTGTTACAATCTATTACAGCACCAAAATGTAACTTTCATGCTTTTCTCTGTATCCATGTTCAATAGCCCAGTATGTTGTTTACCTAGGCTTACTTGGTATATGTTTGTTTAATTGAACTGGAGAGGCATAGAGTTTTAGAGACAGAAGGATCAAAAGTTTGAAACCATTATAGTCTTGGAAATCCAAAAGACTATAAAACAAAGCTAATCATTAAAAACAATTTTTCCCACTATCTTTCCATGTTCTTGTGAATCAAATATCTTTTCTGAACAAAGGGCTTTAGGGTATCATAAATTTCAAATAAATGACTCTGACTCATCAACTTTGTATCTGTTATGGCCATAGCTATTCTAGAAATAAATTCTATATGAATTTGCAAATTTTCTCATCCTAAATAACTGTTTGAATATCTGAATAATCACACAATGTGGATGCCTCAGTATTTGCACAAGAGAAAAAGAACTGAATAGAATTACTGGCATTTCAAATCCAGTATTTGAATTTCACTAAGATTAAGCGTTAGACTTGATTTGTCTTTCCCATCTGAGGATTCAGGTATATTCAGTTTTTCACTAAAGTAAAGAGAATCAGGAATGTGTTTTAATGGCCTCAAAGGTTCTCTTCCTATCACTTATTTTCTCCAGAAGGGGTTGGGTTTTTCATCAATAGTAGCGGGTAATGATGAGCACATTTTGAAACTGACTCTTGATTAATGATATCTTGCTTCCAAGGATTGATAGGCCATAAAACTCTGTGCTAAAAGACACATTCTTCCCTTGCCACCTATTGTGATTCTAAGAATCCAGGTATGTTTGCACTATTTTTCCCCATGAAGCAGAATATCCCATCAAAGTGTAGCAAGGGGATTCACAGAGAACTCATTTGCATGTAGAGATTTTTTGTTTTGTTTGTCTCCTTGCTGGTAATACAATTAACCCTCCGCCTGAGTTTCCAGGTCTAGCAAATGATGTTCCTACCCCAATCTAGGGGACAACAGGAGGAGTTCCTGAGCCAATTCTGGGGGACCAGATGGGGCCACCAGAGCACTCTCTATTGGAAACCCCTATAACCAATTAGTCCTGATAAGTATGTGGAGCCTCCCGTGATGATGATGATGACAACAGCCAGCGTTTATGGCTCCCTCACTGTGCCACGCATTGTTCAAATTGCTTTACAGGATTAATTCACTTCATCCTCACAACTCTATGAGGTAGACGTTATGATTATCTCCACTTTATAAAGAAGGGCACTGAGGTGTGAAGCAATTTATTCCAGGGCCATATAGTTTCAAATGACGGAGCCAGGATTTGAACCCACCACCCCTGTTGCTTTAAAGACACCAGTCTCATGCAGAATTCATCACTCCTTCCTACATCTATGGCCTTGAAACGTATCCTCAGCAGTAAGTCACTGACACTCACACGCTTTGATGTTAGGTGACCTATCTAACATTCTGATGATTTGCACAAATTGTTAATAGAAAGGCAATTACAGCAGCCTCTGGCCAGTCGCCTCAGGCCAATAGCATCTCAGCCCTGAGCTTTTTCTCCTTGATTGTCCGGGAATCTATATTCTCCTAGAATTCAAATGGGATTCCCACCCAGGCCACTATCTCTGCAAATATCTCATGGCCTCCAGTCCTGCAGAACTGGGACTCTCATGTGCCACACACGCTCCCCAGCCACCAGCACTATGATTCACCCTAACACACGTGTGTCAATCACATGTGTTTACTGAGCGCCTACTATATGCCAGGCCCGTGGTAGGCACAGAAGATTACCCTGCATACTGGAGCTTTCATTCCCAACAGCCCTGACTTCCAATTGGAGGAACATGATTAATTTGTGGAAATACCAACGTGGAAGGAATTGCAGACGGAGGGGAGAAATGTCTTAGAAAAGATTCAGGCAGAACTACCTTTATAGTCCCTTCCAACCCTACCCCCATCCTCTTGATTTCTCTCTAAGGCGAGCATTTATTAGTTTGATTTCAACACACACACTTGTACCTGTAATTACTATATAATATCTGTTTACTTTTTTTAAACGAAAATGAATTTAAATTAATCTTGTTTTGTGAATTTCAAGGCACCCCCTGAGATAAATGAAGACACTCCAGGGTGTCATCAAACCAGTGCTGGGAATCCTTGCTCTAAAAAGCAGAGAAGCAAGCTCATTAAACCTTCAAGGAGCTAGAAGGGGGAAATGTATATAGAAATACAGATAGAGCACATTAAAGACAGAATGTTCTATGTGCATTATCCACTTATATACAGACACACACACACAAAACACATGAAAAGTAGTACACCAAAATGGGATTATCTTTAGGTGACTTATTTCTTGTAAACTTAACATCAATGCCATTTGTTTCTAGTGTCTCTGAATCACAAAGGATATGCTGGCAACAGCATTTCCAAAACTCCTTTTCCCGTATATCTTGAGTGCCAATAAGAGGCACTCATGTGAGATTCGGAAGGAGAAGAGAGGAGAGACCATTATTTGTGAGAGGCAGACAAATGCATAGGCAGATGAGAGGCTTGAAACAGCACCTAGGTGAATTTCTCGAGACTCCCTATATTTGTTCTTCAGACAAAAATTACTGGTGGTAATTTTCCAGAAGTTCTTGAGATTTACAGGGAAATAGCTTCCAGGCAAGGCCTCTGAGAGTGGCTCACTTAGGTGTCACAGGCTAAGATCATCTGGGACCTTTAGGCCTCAGCCCACCCAGCAGGTATGTAAACCTCCAATACGGCTTTCCCCCTGCCTGGAAAGCATAGAGTGGCTTCTCTAATCCTAATTGAACACCAGGTAATATAAATAGGTAATAGGTAATCATTTTTGTGTGCGTGTATATGTATTTTAATGCTTTTACAATAAACATAGATTATTTGTATAATGTAGCAATAAAAGCTTTAAAGTGTTTTAAATACGCAATGTAATAACTATTCCGATAGAGATGCTACAGAGGAAGCCCGGAGAAGGGACACAAAACACGAATTGCAAGGCAGCGGGGAAGGCTTCCTAGAGAAAGTGGTTTGGTCCCAAACTGAATCTCGAGGGAGGTGAGGCGTTGCCGCGGGCAAAGGGCAAGAGCAGGACACGCAAAGGACACGGCATGGGGCAAAGGCACGAGAAGGAGCCCCGCTTCTCTGGCCACCCATACGTTGTTCAGCGCGACGAGGACAAACACTGCTGCAGAGGAATGAGGTAAGACAAGGCCAGAGAGAAGTGCAGGAGGCCTCATCCTGGAGGGCTTGATTTGCCAGCCTGTAAAATTTGGGGTTTCCTCTTGAAGGCAATGAAGAGTTGCTGAAGGACTGGAAAAGTAGGATCTGAGTTCTGGGAAAGTCAGCGTGGCTGTGCAGAGGGGAAATGCGTAGAGGCTGGACTAGAGGCCAGTCCAGAGACACACAGAGCGGTGGGGCCCGAGGGGGCTTTGAAAGGATGGGAGTCGGGTGGGAGGAAGGTCTGCTAGCGAGGGGGTAGGTTGGAGCTGGTGTGATCGGAGGTTGGCCCTGGCTCCTTCCCCTTTGCCCCAAACTGTGGGCAGCCTGGAGGCACTTAAATTGGAGGATAATGACTGGGGAGTTTTCTACCTCGCCTAGAAAGTACTTCAAAGGTGGGGAAAATAGGAGGTGATGTTTCAAGCATTCCTCCAGAAAGGAAATGTAGGAACCGAGCCCTTCCTTGGAACAAAAACAGGAAAGGTGCGTGTATAGTGAACCTATTTTTTTTGGACATCTTCCTAACCTGTAGATAAAGCCAATTGATTGTTCTAATCCGGGACTTTTAGGTGTTTCTAACTGGCCTCGGGCTTTCCCCCCAGGCCAGTTAGGCCCCTTTGAGACCGCTCCTCTGCTGATTAGCTCCTCTTCCCACAGCCCTGCTCAGCCAAAGATTCCCAACCCCAGAAATGAGGCACCTGGAGATCTCCAAGTCACCACCTCTGTGACCAGGCCACGTTCTGGGTGCTACCGATGACCGAAAGGAAAACAGAGTTGTAAAACAGAAGTCATACAACAGGGCTTCTCAGTCACAGGTGTGCATATAGGCCACCTGGGGACCCCACAGGACTTAGGTGGGGCCTGAGATTCTGCATTTCTCATGAGCTCTCACATGAGGCTGACTGTGGACCACACCTTGAGAAGCCCTTGTCTACAGACTGAGGGAACAGCCAGGAGTTTCGGAAGACGCCCAAAGAAAACCTGATGCTGACAATTCCTGAGGTCCGTTGATTCACCATATTTGTTGCATGTGCACTAGAAAATGAACCTATGCAGGCTGCAGTTTTGGAGACAGAAGACTTAAAGAAGAAAGAGACAAGAAATAATATGGCAGTTTAGAAACCTCAAAGGTCTAGGTACTGCAACCAGCATATTAAAGATGATAAAATAGAGTAAGTAAATAAGGGTATCTGTATTAGTTTTCTATTGCTGCATAACAAATTGCCGCAAACTTAGCGGCTAAAGAAACACCATTTGTTAAATCACAGTTCTGTAGGTTAGAAGTCCAGTTACAGGTTAGCTGGGTCCTCTGCTCAGGGACTCATCAGGCTGAACTCAAAGTGCCAGCCAGGCTGTGACTCAGGCAGTATAAACGGAAGAAGTGAGAGAGTCACCAAAATGGTTTTCATCATAAAAGTGGCTCTTACCTAGCCACGTGCTCCCTCTTGATTCTGCTCTCCCCAGCCTTTGCTGAATGGCTTTTCAAAACCAAAGCCTGCTGCTCACCTCCTTCCCCATCTCCAACTCCCATGATGATGACGTCTGGTGTAAGAAAGCGTCCCCCAAGAGCCCAACCTAAAGTCTCAGCGTGCTCCTGGAGTATCTAAAAGAAACAGATCATTTTAAGTGCCATAAAGGCTACAGGATTGTCAAAAGTACAAGAAATCAACTAGTAAATTGTGAGATTTCAGTTATGGTAGGTTCTGTAACAGTACACAAATCACAAATTCTTCAACAAGACAAAGAGAAACAAGGAAAAGCTATCAGTGCCATCTTGTGGAAAGACCTATATTAAAATGCCCAAGGTAATGTGGTCACACCCCAGACCATTTCAGAACCTCCGCGCTCAAGGCCAACACGCATCCAACCAACACCAAGGTAGTAATAGCTTTACCATCTGTTTATAGGTCATAGCTCTGATGGGTAGAGGCTCCATTCTACCGGCAATTGCTTGTTTCTCGTGCCATGACCATTGTTAAATAATTTGTATAGCATCTCTAGCTGTACAAGTGCTACCTAAACCTATACTTCCAAACACCACACACACACAAAACCATACCCAAACTACTCTGGCTTCTTCCCCTACACACCATGGTTCTCCAAATATGGAAAATTTTCACCGACTTATCACAACACTCCGCACAAACACACACACACACACTTAGACCACAACTGCTTGTAGTATAACTCTTTCTTTTTAAATTAACCTTGATTTTATTTCACTTCTTGAGTTGATTGGAAATTATTTTCCTTCTTTCCTTCACACTGAATATTTCCATCTGTATTAGCAGCTACCTATTGCTGCATAACAAATTATCCCCCAAGATTTGAGGGCTTAAGAGAATAACTATTTATTATCTCACAGTTTCTGTGGCTAAGGAATTCAAGAGAGGCTTAGCTGGGTGGTTGTGGCTCAGGGAATCCACGAGGTTGCAGTCAAGATTTTGAGTAAGCCAGCTAAAGTCTGAATGCGGCTGGAGGATCCACTTCCAAAATAGCTGGCTCCCTCACATGACTGTTGCTAGGAGGCTTCAGTTTCTCACCGCATGGATCTCTCCATACGGCTGCCTGAGTGTCCTCACTACACGGTGGCTGGCTTCTTTCCAGGAGCTTCCTGTGGAAGCTCTTCTTCTCAAGACAGAACAAGTCAAAACCCATGTCTTTTATGATCTAGCCTCGGAAGTCACACACCATGGTGTCCCCAGTGGCCTACTGGTCATAAAAAGCAGCTCTACCTGTGTCAGGAGGACAGCACAGGCAGGAGCTGGCTCACTGGGGCCATCCTGGAAGCGGCCACACCATCCCTTTCTCCCAGGTCCAACTCCCAGATCATTGGGCCCCAGGGCTGAAGTGTGTTTAGATGTAGGGAAATCAGAATATTGAGGACACTGAGAATTCCGAAATGTAGTCCAAGGGGCACAGGAACCAGAACCCAAGCAATCTTTCACTGTAGTGGGACGTGGGGCCCTACCTGGGGGAAGAGATGCTCTGACTCTAACTTCCCCAGTTTCTCCCACTGGCATCAAGCCAGTCAGGGAACTGGGACCTCCCCATGAATAATAATGCGTCAAAATATCCTTGTCAATGGGTAGAGGGGAAGCCAGGGTGCCCTGAAATGATTCTACTCTGCTTTACAATGGACAGAGGACAAACGGGAAGGAAGATCCCTGTCTTTGTAAGACTTTTCTGGTGGCTCCAACCCAAGCTTATCTTCTCCCCCACTGACTTCTTTAGCACTTGTTATTTTTACTGCACAATTAGCTTTTTAATATATATTATCTGACTGTCTTTGATGAGCAATTTGGCACTTTATTGTATGTTCTGAGAATAATTACATCTGAGTCTAAATCCCCCCCAAGTATGCTGTAAATTCCTTGAAGTCAGGGAAATTACTTCAGCTTATTACTCAGCCCACCATCAGTGTCAACAGATTGTTCTCCAGGAATATGTCCCCCAACACGCTCACATGCACACGCCGCCACACACATGCGCACCACAGGCGCAGCGCTCTGGAAGGACTAAGGCTTATTTATCCAGTTTTACAAAAATAGTAATTAGACTTAGCCAGGACCATAATGGCACAGTTTTTCTTTCCTTAAAAGCACAGACACATAAAAAGTACACCTCAAAGAGGTACTACACAATTCTCAGCACAGTCCTCAAACCCAGGCAACTAAAAAGAACGACAAATACACACTGTCACATAGTCCCAGAGACCCGCATTCACTGCCAAAAAAGTGTATTCCCGGTCTTGCCAATGCATTCTACTTATCTATTATCTACTTATCTATTCATGTGTTTATTTAACATTTGTGAGCACCACGTATCAGGCTCCATAGTGGATCGTGGAATTCAAAGACAGAATGATGCAGTCTTGGCTTCTAGGCAGACAGGTGACTCGATTCCAGTGAAATAACTGCTATCCTGAGAGGGCACATTTATACAAGGTGAGATGGGAATACAGAAAATGCCTCAGTCTTCCAGAGGGTCAGGTAGCCCTGTGCAGAGGAGAGAGGAAAAGGAGGTCAGTATCATGTGTGTGGAGAGAGGGGCGAGAGGTGCTGGCATTGTTATTTGCAGGAGTTCTAGCCCAAAAACCATCAGAGAGGGTTTTCCCTTAGACTTTGAGGCCCCCTGGACCCAAGACGAAAAAAATCAAACGGCACCCTTGACAATGAATGGAACACAGCTCAAGGCAGGGACTCTGGGCCCTTCCTACCCTGGGTCTGTTGGAAGGGAGGGGCAGAGCCACAGAGAGGAAGGAATTCCTGAAAAGGGAGGCAACTGGCCTTCACACAGGGAGGCCCCAGTGGGTTGACAGATACGCTGCTAGCCCCCCAGAGACCCGCACGAAGGGGTGGGAATCACTGCTAGGAGGCCCAGGGAAGAAGAGAATCTCTGTCTCCCCCAAAAATGTCTTCCTTCTGGAGAAGATGAGCTCTGAGCTGGATATCAAGGAGGCAAGTAAGGGGCACAGGAGGGCAGGAAGAGGTGTGGGAAGTTTTTCCCTGGAGAGTGGAGGGAGCAAAGGAAGGACAGCAAGGGGAAGGGACTAAGAAAAGACTGACTGGAGAGGAGCAGGTGCTGGAGCCTAGACTCCAGGGGCAGCGCAACCAGCAATCCTGGAGAGCAACTGGGCTGAGAGGAGAAATCGGGGCAGGGGTGACTGGCAACTGAGAGGCCTGGGCTGGCAAGGAGGGAAAGGAAGGAATCGCAGCGGGCTGGATGATAGGGAGTCATATGGGAAATGAGCGTGCAAACAGGAAGGGCTTAATCAAGGCTGTGATTGTCTGGAAGGGGAGAAAAGGGAATATTTGGCAGCTCCCGGAACCTGGAAAGAGTAGTCGTCTGGGTAAATGTTAAGTGCATTTTTCACAGGGTCAGAGAAGGCCTTGAACTTTGGGGGGAAAGAAATTCCTTTCCATTCTGCTGGAGCCAGAGACTTAAATGGTCAAATGTATGTGTCAAGGGTAGGTAGGGCAGAGGTGGGGGAGTAAACCTTCCCGGTGAAGGGCCCTGGGCTTGGATCACCGTGTCCTTGGCCAAGTTAACCAACTTCTCTAAGCCTCAGATTACTCACGTACAGAAAGGGTACAAAAATATCTTCCACATGTGGTTCTTCCAGAAAGCACTTGGCACAGGGCCTGGTACATTAGTAAATTCAATGAGGGTTAACTATTTTCATAATTATATTTAGTCTGCATCACTAGAAGCACACTATTCAAATGAGGATATAGACTACTGGTCAGATCACAGCTGAGACAGTGCGTTCGGATCTAGAGCCCCACCTTGTAAGAACAACAGTGAAAAATTCTAGCCTGACCCAGGGGGCCAGGAAAACTTGAAATGGGAAAAATATCATATATGAATAAAAATTAAGAAAACCCACAGGTGTTTAGCTCAACTGACATTTGTGGGTATGAGCGTGGTTATGTGACAAGGAAGTAATTTTGTTTAACTTTGGGAAGCAGTACTGTGCTGTCAAAGATTCTAGAGCCTGCAGTCATCTGTCCGTCAAGTTTATTAACCTCTCCAGTGCCTCACTGTTTTCATCTATAAAACGGCATCACTTAGATCACCTACCTCATAAGATTATTGGGGCAATTAAATGAGTTGATACATGTAAAGTGCTTAGAAGAGTATCTGGCACATAGTAGATGCTCAATAAATGTTGGTTATTTTGTTGGTGGTGACTGATATTACTATTTCTATAATTATTACTCTGGGTAAGATTTCAGGGCACCAGATGGCAGCCCAGAATTTTTTAATTAGTTCCAGCAATGGAAAAATGAGAATAACTGCCTGTGCGGTAGCAGTATCTTTTCCCAAAAGTCTCTGATCATGGCTAGTCGTTGGAAAAGACTCCTCCCCGTGGACTTCCTCACAGTGGGCGAGTGTAAATTTGTCATCTCGTGAGCCCTGTGTGCCCACTGTTAGAAAAGTAAAGCGAGGCCAGGCCCCGGGCAGGCAGGGGCAGCCTGGCGGTGGTGCAATAGCTCCGACACACCGCCAGGGAGCAGCAGAGCCCGACCCCGGGTTGCTCGGTCCTCCGAGAGCAATTCCTAACTCATCGCAGGCTTCCTCCTCGGCTCTTTGAGCTGCGGTAACCTCGCCCATTGGGGGATCGCGGCGCTGCTCGGCGTCGCTCAGAGCCGGGGCTCCGCGTTCCGGCCCCGCCCCCGCCCGGCTCGGCCAATCCCCGGCGGCGCGGCCGAGCGTCACCGGGCGGCGGCCCGCAGACCACGTGGCCAGGTGGCGCCGGGGCCTGGTAGGTGGCGGGTTACCGGGCCCAGCGGGACAGGGGACGAGGGGGCGGGGCGGGGGTGGCGTCGCCCCCTCTGACCTCTGCCCTGTGCCCTCCCCCAGCGATGGGCGTGCAGCCCCCCAACTTCTCCTGGGTGCTCCCGGGCCGGCTGGCGGGGCTGGCGCTGCCGCGGCTCCCCGCCCACTACCAGTTCCTGCTGGACCGGGGCGTGCGGCACCTGGTGTCGCTGACGGAGCGCGGGCCCCCGCACAGTGACAGCTGCCCCGCGCTCACCCTGCACCGCCTGCGCATCCCGGACTTCTGCCCGCCGGCGCCAGACCAGATCGACCGCTTCGTGCAGATCGTGGACGAGGCCAACGCCCGGGGAGAGGTCAGCGGGGAGCGCGGGCCGCGCAGGTCGGCGGGGCACGCGGGCAGCGCTGGGGCGACCCGGGCCAGGACCACAGCCGGGCTCCGGGGCAGCCACGGGGGAAGACAGAGAGGCAGGGGTGCAACGGGGACCTGAAGCCACCCACGGCGGGGAGGGGAGGCCAAATGGGAGGAATGAAAGAGAAGGCAGAGCAGTGTGAAGTGGGCTCCGAGACAGGCATCGGACAGCGAGTCGAGGAGGAGCAAGACAGACGGGCAGACTTGGAAGAGGTGGGGGTTGAAGTCATACGGAGGCCGTTTACTGTTTTCTAGAGCAATGCTGTCCAAATATAATGGAGCCATGTATGTAATTTTAAATTTTCAAGCCCAACCACATTTTTAAAAATGGAAAAAAAAAAAGAAGCAGGTGGAATTAATTTGGGGAATATTAACCCAGTAAATCAAAATTATTATCATCTCAACGTATAATTTCCATATAAAATAAATTCTTAAGGAGCTATTTTCATTCATTGTTTTGCACTGCATCTTCAAACCCTAGTGTTTGTAACACCAAATCTCCATTTGGACCGGCCACATGTCAAGTACACAGTAGCCGCACGTGACTTGTGGCTTCTGCATTGGACAGCACAAGTGGACAGTTGTGGGGAGGCAGGCCAGGAGTCCAGCTCTTGAACCAGCCACTTCAGAGACCTCAAAGCCACCCGGGTGCAGGGACAGCCCTCCCTGACTTTGATGTCACTTCCTGCCTTGTGACTACCTGGCCCAGTGCACAGAGCCCTGACTCAGAAGCAGCACTGTGGGGGTGTGGGGGGCAGACCAGCCCAGATGAGGGCAGGGGAGCGTTAGGGAGGGTTCAAGCTCCTACCCACCAAGCTCCCTCTTCACAGGCCGTGGGAGTGCACTGTGCCCTGGGCTTTGGCCGCACTGGCACCATGCTGGCCTGTTACCTGGTGAAGGAGCAGCACTTGGCTGCAGGAGACGCCATCGCTGAAATCCGGCGCCTTCGACCTGGCTCCATCGAGACCTACGAGCAGGAGAAAGCAGTCTTCCAGTTCTATCAGCGAACTAAATAAGAGGCCTCTGCCCCTCTCTGCCCCTTCTCCCCTGCTCTGTGTGGTAGGTGGGGCCAGAGACAAAGGGAAGTGGACAAATGTATTAAACACTCCAGCTCCCATTGGCTCAAGAGACTGAAATAGCCCACCCCCCTTCAGGCAGGTCCTAATAGAAGGGATGGCTGGGGCCCCATTCAAAGGGGGGGTGGAGGGAGGCTGTCCTGCTCCCCTGAATAAATGACTTACATGAACCAGCTCACATTGCATGGCCCTTTACAAAGCACTCCCACACACCAACTTATTTGATCCTCACAGTAGCTCTGTGATATAGAAAAGGCAAACGGGCCATCCCCCTTCTTTGGACAAGGTGACCAAGGCTCAGAGAGGCCCAAGATGACACTACTACAAAGTAGAAGGATGGGCCAGAATCACACCGTGCATCTTCAGCGATTGGAAGATGCTGACATTCTATGTATCGCCTCCCTAACGATATTTGATGTGGTTTCCGGGGAGCTGGCCAATGAAAAGGTTTCAGACCCTCAGTAGCCCAGCCTCCCCCCAGCTCCAGGTCTCGGACACTCATAGGGCAGGAGGGCTCCTCAGTTTCAGTCCATCTGCCATACATGAGTCATCCTTGTTCCTTCCCTCTGGGGACAGAGATGGCCTGGATGTCATGCTCGCAGATAACCACTGTCTCCATCTCCCCAGAGCTGGACACCTCTCGTCAGCCTCAGCTGCTGCTCAGCTCATCTGGGGCCTCCGGCCAATGCTGCTGCCCGGAAAGCTCAGGCCAGGGGGTGCTCGAACTGAGCCAGTCTGGGCGGCTGCGCAGAGCAGATACTTGCCAATTAAATGAAGAGCTCCAGGGCTATAAATCTTGGCCTCGTTTCTCAGATGTTATCTTCACTTCTCCCCTGTTAGACCCCACCCTGCCACCACCAGCTCACTTTGGGCTTCCAAGAGATGGGAGGAATGGCATACACCAGCCAGATGGATGCTTTTTGCTATAATGTCTGCCTGAATTCCTATCACCTCTCTTGCTGTAGCAGGCTGGGCTGAATAAGGTAGAAATTCGTCGTGAAATGTGTACTGAGTGCCTATGTGTACCAGGCTCTGTTAGATGCGGAGACTACCCAGTCGAATGAGATGTGATTGCTGCTCGCAGGAGCTCACAGCCTCCTGGAAAAGATGGGCACAGACAGAGTCCAGCCCCAGGTAATGGCTACTGCGATAGACGTGCATTCCCGTTGCAGTGGAGACAGAGTAGGGAGGGGCCAAGTGTTCCCGTGAAGACCTCAACTGTCATAGCCTCAACCACAGCCAGGCCTGGCCACCTGCTCCTCACTACTTCTTTCTCCCTTCCACTACTGCCCACCAAGCCATCCCTACCCAACTCGCTTTAAACAAAAAGAGTATCAGCTGAAGTCTTGCCAGTCTAAAGGAGAGAGGCTATAAGATGCCCTGTCCCCAATTTTCATCTATGTGTCAAATCTGAGCAATCAGTTCCTTCTCTATAGTTACCCCCTTGGTCCCTACCCTAGCCTATCCAGGGAAAAACATCTCCCAAAGAGAAGAAACCCACAAATCCCAGGTATTCAGGCTGCAGCAGAGGAATGAAGCATAGCACAAAGAGGACACACTGAAACTCTCACTCTCATCTCACCAAAGGCCCCAACTACCCTGCCCTCCCTCGCTCACTCCTTCCCCAGCGGCACAGCCCCATTCTGTTTCCCGGTGCAAACCAGAGCACGTGCCAAAGGTGTGTGTGTCTCTGTGTTTCCATGTGAAGGGAATGGGCGGGAAGAGTGTGAATGGCCCACTTCCTAAACCCCTTCCCTGCATTCTGAGGGCTTACCAGGATGGGGAGAGAAAGGCACGAGGCTTGAAGCTGCACCAAAGCCCATGTCTCTGTCTCTTCTCTCATCCTCACCTGCTGGGCCATGCGAGCAGTCCTGCTGTTTCTGCCTGTCTGCCTGTTCCTAGTTTGCTCCACCCTCCCTCATTCTCAGGTGGGAGAGGAATCTGCCCTTCCCTTTCTCCCAAGCCTCCTTCAAAGGAAACAGAAACATTTTCTAGCCCCGTTAAAGCCCTGTGTACAGCTTCTATCCCCATAATTTAAGCAAGTCTCCTCTGCCTCAAGAGTTCCTTAGGGAAATAAACATATAATTAAGTGCTTAAGGAAACCACTCTTTAAATAAGAGTTGACTTGAAATGAAAAACTCTGCCCTTCTCCTTCCATCCATCTACCTTGGGAGGTTAGCCTGAGCCTCCCTTTGGGGGTCATTCCCACCCCCCAATTTTTGTCTTTTCACCACTGCCTCTTCTGTATATAGCCACCAATGAGGGGTGCCAGATTAGCCATGCACCTTCCCATCCCAAGCTGAGATAGATGAGAGGAACAGGCCACCTCCATCTAAACAGAGCTTTTGCATCAGACCAGGGGTTCTCGGCCCCAGCATTGTGGACGTTTGGAACTGGACAATCCTGTGTTGCAAGGGTCATCCTGTGTATTGAAGGATGTTTAGCAGCATGCCTGGCCTCTGCTCACTAGATGCCAGTAGGACATGCCTCCCCCATCGTTGTGACAACTAAAAATGTCTCTAGACATTGCCATATGTCCCCTGGGGGGGATAAAATCGGCCTCAGTTGAGAACCATTGCATCAGACCAACAAGTGCCAGATGCAGTCATGGGCTTTCATTTCCTCTGGGAGCGGAGGTGGGAGCATGCTTGTGGGTGCAGACATCTTAAAAGGGGAGAAAGAGCCCACTCAAACACTGCTACCCTCTCAAGCAATGTCTGGCACCATCCCCAGTCCCTCAGCCTTTCCCAGGGCTGGTTTCCCAAGGTGGTGATAGACACCACTAGCTTTCCATATTCAGGAAGCTTTTATTCTCAATGAGCTGCTGGTGGACACAGCTTGCAGTAACCTCTACTCCTACCCCCGTGTTTAGAAAGTTTCATTTATGTTTATTCTATGGTAGGTGATCAGAGTTCTCTGCCGAATGGAGGCTTTTCTCTCTAGAAAATGTTTCTCCATATCATTGGGGCTCTGCAGCAGTCACCTTTTGGGTTCCTCTAAAATTATTCAGGTGCAGAAACAACCGGAGTCAGGATGGGAGGAGAACCAGCCACGGTCTTCTTTGATTTCTCAATCCCCCTGTCCTGGTTCTCCCACCTCCATGTCCCCTGGACAACTCCTGGACTGGGGTCTTTTTGCTCTCTGGGTTCTACCATGTTTCCCTGAAAATAAGACAGGGTCTTATATTTATTTTTTCTCAATAAGACACCCTAGGGCTTATTTTCAGGGAATGTGTTATTTTTTTTAAGTACAATACAACAATCTACATTTATTCAAATATAGTTAAGTCTTCTTCTTCTGGAACATCATCATAAACTCTCCAAACCCCAAATTCCATCCTGAGTTTCTTGTGACTCTATTTCCTTTAGAACCATTGGCCCCAGTCTCTCATGTCGAGCAATAGAGCTCGCATGGGGCAGATGAGAAGGGCTGCTCCTCTTCTTTACCGCTCCATGATGAAATGCATGGGTTGTGCAGATGCGCTGCGTAGCCACGCCCATCACTAGGTCTTATTTTTGGGAGAGGACTTATAGTGTGCAAATGCTTAGAAATCTTGCTAGGGCTTATTTTATGGGTAGGTCTTATTTTTGGGGAAACACAGTAGGATCCATAACAAGCTGTGTGTCCTATTACACAGCTTCCTGCTCCAGAAAGGTCTCTAGCAGGGAAATAGGCCGACTCCCTACACACACTGAGGTTAGCCCACACCTCCTTTGGAACTGTGCGTGGCATTGCCCTTACAGCCTGACCCATATGGCCATTCAAAACATATAGGGATCTCATCCACAGGGGCTTCATCTCTGGATTCACCCCTGGCTGGGGAGGTCTGCTCCTCATGCACCCCCACCTGCCCCTCTCTATCCCCTAGATCAGGTCTTCCCAGGGCAGTGGGGGAGCCTGTTACCTGAGACAGGGATTTGATCCAAACCATAAACCATTTCCCAGAATGAACTTCACCCATTTGCCAAGCTGCAAATCAAACGTTCTGTCTGTATCTTGCCATTCTTTCTGAGAATTCGGTCTCACAGGATTGTTTTGTCACAAAACAATGTCAATTACCACTAATGTATTTCACATTTTGTCGTGACCACACTTAACTTGCTCGTAGGATCATAATTGCCATTGTTTACAAGGTGCTTACCATGCAGCAGGTGTTTTACGTACATTGCATTATTTTATCCTTAAAACGACGCTGCAAATTATGTCTTTTTTCCCTTTTTATAGATGAGGGAACTGAGATTTCGAGAGATGAGCGACACACTTGCATTGAAGGAGCTGAGACACGAACCCAAGTCCTGACTCCAGAGCTCATGCTTCTTTGACCAGACATCCTGCCTCCCAGGACTTTCCCAGGTTCCAGCGACACAGGGAAGCCTGTCTTCATGATTAGGGCTTGGTCTCATGGGCCCTCTCATCAGCACGTCCTCGAATGAGCACGCTCCGCTCTTCATTCTCTCGGGAGATCAGAGAACAACCCTGCCCCTGACACTGAAGTCGGTAACACCTGAATTATTCATATGTGCTGCTCTTTAAAATGGGGCCCAAGCATTTAAGGCCAAAATGGTGAAACTGATTCATCAGGCGGGTTCTGTCTCATCCACTATGGTCTTAGCTGGGAGCATGCAGATGTCCTCACCCAGCAGGACAGCCTTGAGGAGTGTGTAACTGGCATCAAGACCTCAAAAATGTATGATTATTTATTAAAGACCCTAATACTTTTTCTGGTTTTGTTGGTGGTGAGTGCTTAATGCACGCCAGGCACTGTGCCAAGTGCTTTACAGACATTATCTCATTCGCTTCTTTCGCTTCTCAAAAAAAAAAGAAAAAAAAAGCCTATGAACAAAGCACTATTAGAATAGCCAGGGCAGTGCACAGATGAGTAAACTGAGACCCAGAGATTTTAAGTAACCTGCCCAGAGTTACCTAGTACAGCAGGATCAGTCGTAGAAGGTCTAACGATAAACTGCCTTCCCTCTTGGGAGCAGAGAGAAAAGACTTCATTGTAATGAGAAAATACATAACAATATCTTGTGTTCCCCAGAATGGAGGTGTTTGGACCCAGCGAGGCCCGTCAGTGGAGCTGTCTGATCTCAGGGCTTCCCGGCCCTGCTGCCCGGCATCCAGCAGCGCCACTGGACTGGGGAGTGTGCTGGCTGCCAGCACAGCCATCATCCCTAACAGCCTTCTGCCTCCAGCCTCCAGCACCATCAAAAACATAGTCCCCTGTTGATTTATAAATGAATTACATAAGCACTTCTTCCATTACTTTTAAAATTTTTTCTCCAGCTATTATGGATTCAAGGCATACTCTTGAGAAGGCAGCATGCTTGTCCAAGCAAGTAGAAATTTAAGAAACACTTTGGTGCACCTCCATGCCTATAATTGATGACTTATTTGCAACCTTGATAACAGAATTCTTTTTGCCAATAAATTGCTTAGATTGCTTCAACAACTCTCTCACACTAATTTTCCCTTGACTTACTCTGTCACCACGGATGTGTGATCATGAAGCAAATTAGTGATGTCACCTCTGAGTTTTCAATATGTGACAGTCAGTATAGCAAACAGTTCCTGGATTGTTTCTCCCCTGGCTTTTACAAGAAACACGCTGCTGTATCTCCTTTAACAAAATCCACTGAGTAGTGGCTCTGCTCCAAACCCAAGGTGGCACTGTGAGCAATGACAATCCATGCAGCCATCCCACAGGTGACACTGCTCACCTCTTTCAGTAGGTTTTACGTGCCCTTGGGTTCCCCCACCCCCAGCAAATTCACTAAGTTGCATGTTTTCCATAGACACTCTTCATGAGATCTAGCTGTGGCCGGGTGCAGCCTAGAGCCATGGAATAGAATTCAATAAAGTAGCCACACTGGGATAAGCCCACAGGCAGAACCATGCCAGTCTTGACCACGGTCTCTGAGGATCTAAGTAAGGATCCAATCCTATCCTCAGTCTCATCCTTCACCTTATACACTCCCCTCTCCTTTAACCTTTGTTCTCTTCTCTCTACCTGCATCAGGAGTCCCCCAGACCTCTCTCAGGTTGGATGATTTGCTAGAAGTTCTCACCAAACTCAGAAAAGCTGTTACACTGTCAGTTATGGTTTATTGCAATGAAAGGATATGGATTAAAACCAACCAAAAAAAAAAGGCACATAAGGTAGAGTCAGAAGAAACCAGGCACAAACTTCCAGCTGTTCTCTCCCAGTGCAGTCATGTGGACAGCACTTAATTCTCCCAGCAACAACGTAAGACAATGCAAGGATGTTCCAGGGTTGTGTGGGTTTTCGGGGGTGTTGAGGGAGTTATATAGGCATGTAACATTCATGTGACTCAGTCTCCAGCCCCTAAAGAGGTCAAACTAAAACAGCATAGCCCAAAGCAGCCTAGGCATATAAAAACAGGTGCTGTCCATAAATCACACTGTTAGCATAAACTATCTGGCCTGGCCCAAGGTCTCAGGTATACAAAAACACTTTGATCAGTTGGATATTCCAAGGGCGCAGAGGTCTTAGGAGCTGGTCAAGGGGCAGTCTTGAAGATTTTTGGAATGTGAAGGGTTTGGGCAACCCAGGCCTGCTGAGTTAACTCTTTACTGCACACTACCAGATGCTTTGCACCTCTCCCCATGACAGTCTGGGCACATGCTATTCCATTTGCCTGGGGCGCTTTGTTCCTCAACTTTTTGTCTGGCTCCCAACTCCTACTGACCCCTACTGGTCTTAGTTTAAACATCACTTTCTCAGGGAAATGTTACCAACAGCACCCCTCCCCCATATTCTCCCACATATTCCCAAAGCATCTGTCCTTCTCTTTGAGGCCATTTGCTCACTCGTATGATTCATTTAGTCATTTAATCTCTCTTTCTCTCTTTCTCTTTCTCTCTCTCTCTCTCTTTCTCTTTCTTTTTCTTTCTCTCTCTCTCTCTCTCTCTCTCTCTCTCTCTCTCTCTCTCTCTCTTACAGGAGTCTAAGGATCATGTCCATACCTCTAGCACCTGGCACAATGCCTGGCACATGGGTGCTCAATAAACATATGGTGACTAACTGACACGGTGTCACTTACTTGGGTATCTGCACATAGACAAATAAATGGGAAGAACAAGTCTAGGGCATGGATAATCCAGTGGAAGAAAACATGGCACTTGTACACTCCTAAGTGTAAATGCAAAGATGGGTACATAAAATTAGCAAATATGCAATGCATAAATATTTAAGCAATGCTGTAGCGATTGAACAGATAAGAGGAGTGAGTCTGGTAAAATTCAAAAGTTAAACCTTCAAAGAGATATGGAGGATGTGGCTGGAGAGCCTAAAGGAATATGCAAATGTTGGATGTCACTTAAAATACCAATGTTATGTGTTGGGTGCAGAGTCTGCATAGGTGGGCTTAGAGAGAGAGGAGGACAGTGCGAATGGGTGTCAGTGAGGGGAGGGTAGATGTGGAGAGTTGGTTGGCACAGATGAGGTAAAAACCTCACCCAGCAGGCAGCAGGAAATGCTTGGTTAGGTGAAGGTCATGAAAGGGCAGAAACTCACGCCAAAGGGTCAGGATCGTATCTGATCAACAGTGTGGAGTCACCACGAGTTTCTGAGTAGAGGACGTTTCACTAGGTTCAACTTTTCTTAACAGCAGTATGGTGCTTTGTGATTTAACACCGCCAAAGAGAAACAAGGTCTCAGGGCTGCTGATTTTTAAGACTTTTCAGAAGATAAGAGTTAAGTAAGAACTTGCTTTTCCCGCTTGCTGGAAGTTAATGACTTTAATGCTTTGCAAAAGAAAGTAAAAGGGTTGTTAAGTCAGAGTGCTCACCCTCTGGGCTTGCAGGTTATGATTTTTTAATGCTTTTCAAATAGGAAAGGATCTCAAGTGAGTGCCATCCCGGCGTGCTAGAAATACATGTCTTTAAATGGCAGCTGCCACTGGCTCCCGCACACCCACTGTTGTCTGATTCACTGCAGTCACATTTTAAATCTTGAACTCTTGCCATATCCTGGCAAGCCTTGTCTTTCTCCCTAGTGCCCCAAGGCCAGAGGGTATCCTGACCATTGGAGCTTTCTACCTCAGTTGCATCCCCACTTCCCGCTCCCCATCCCCCTGCCATTATGCCTGTCCACTTACCTTCAAACCCGGCTTCTCTTCTCCACACAGTGGCCAGTTTGTCAAGTACTGACGAGCCAAACAGAACAGTTGGTGTGTTTTCCTATGAATGGAGGGCATGGTGTGTGCCAGGGAGGGGCAGTGCTGGGAACTTCACCCACAAAATCGTGCAAGGTAGCTGCAAACACAGGAGCACCCTGAGCCTCAGGGCTCCCCTGGCCGGCAAGCTTCAGCTGGAGACCTAGACAATAACAGACCAGCACAGCATCAGGGGCCTCTTATCACAACCCCTCATCACAGGGGCCTGCAGAGCTCAAGGTGGGGCTGGACAGGGGGCTGCCCCTGATCTCCACACTGCGTTCTGCAGTCCTGGGGGCCTGGGTCTGCCTTGGCATAAGTACTCAAATCCCTCCAGGGAAGAAGGGAGGCTGGGGACACGTGGAGGGTTCCAGCCCCATGCAGGAGTCAGGCCATACTCTTGAGCGGGACCCTCAGCCCATCCCAACCCACCTCTGCTCATGTGATAATCTGAAATCCTCAAAGGAAGTCAATGAGGCTCCCAGGTGAGACAAATCAGAAAGGAACTAGGGCAATGCAAATTAAAACAACAATAAGATATGATTTTTATGTACAACAGGGTTGGACACGAACACGTGTGCACGCACACGCACACCCCAAATCTCAAAATACCAAAGTTGGCAACACTAAGAGGAAACAGGGACTCTCAAACTGCTGGGGATGTGTAAATCAGCACAATAACCTTAGAGAGTGCTATAGTAATGGGTTCATCCCAAAATCCAGCCACTTCACATATATCTATGGCAAATTTTCCATTCGAGCAACTTAGAGACAAGTAAGAGGCTGTTCATTTATTCATTAACTCAATACATATTTATTGAGCAGTTACTATGTTCCAGGCACAATTCTAGGGACTAAAACTTGAGCATGAACAAAAGGCAAAAATCGCTACCCTCATGGAGTGTATATGCAGCCTTGTTTAAATGGCCAAAAGCTAGAAACAACCTGAAAATATGTTGTTTAGAGAATGGACAAACACTGAACTAGAGATACCAGCATCAACATCGATGTGTTTTGGAAACAATGTTGGGTGGGTAGGAAAGAAACTGGCAGATACAGAATACTATTTGTATGAGTAAAAACAAACAATAAGTTGTATGTGGATACATACATATGTTATACAAATAAGTGGTTTGGACACCCACCAAACTCAGAATCTTGGCTACCTCCAGAAAAGGAGGGAGGCAAAAGACCAGGGAGGAGAACTTCAAATGTAACTGGAATGCTTTATTTCTTAAAAAGAAAACATCGGAAGCAAATATGTACGAGAAAGTGTTAGCCCTGTATATTTTGGCTGTTAAGTATATAAATGTTTTTTTTCACAAGCTGGGTCCCTTTTCTTTTTATTTTAAGATGAGAAAGGTTTTGTTTCGTATTGCTTTCAAATTTCAGAAAGGAGTTGGGGGAGTGGAGGATTAAGACCCCCCACCTCCCAGCAACCCAGGCACTAGAGCCTGTTCTAAAATCGTCTCTGGGATTCCGAGCTAGGTGGGACAACCGGGACAGAGACCACAGCAGAGTCCAACTCTGGCCTCCGCTGCCT